TCTAATAAGCGAGAGAAATTTTAATTTCTCTTCATTTATTTTTTAGGATCTTGTTAAAAATAAATATTTTTTTAAAAAATAAGCTATTTCTTATACATAAATAAATGAAAATGTACTTATTTATATGTTTTAGAATAAAAGGTCACATAAAAAGTAGGTTTAAGTAGCATTTAGGTTAAAACATGCTGTGACTAAATTTTAAACTTTTTCTTTTACGAATTTCAATCTTTTATTTTAATTGAAGTAAGATTTTATTAGTAGATGATTTCGCTCATATGTACTTAAAAATTTAAGGGATAAATAACATATTAATTATTAATTAAATAAACAATAAATATACAATCAGATTGAACTCAGTTCGGTTTTAATCCATCCTTTAATGATAAATTTAAATTTTACTATTTTTTTTTTATTTTTACCAAATTTCATGTTTTAATCATAATTTAGTAATTTAGCATCTGTTTGAGTCATATACCAAATTTTCATTTTTATTCTACTACTCATTTTCAATAACACATTCTTTAATAAAATAATATTTTTCATAACATCAATAACATTTCCTTTTTTTTCAATCACACATTCTTCATCAATCTATTATTTTAGAATATATTTTTCCAAAATAATGTGGCTGAAACACACAATTATAATTTGTGTAGAGGAAATCGGAAACAATGTCCCATCTTTCATGTCCCATTTTGAAAAATGGCCAAAATTTGATAGTTTTGCATCCATGGCCCACTTTTTTAAAAAAATAGGATTATTTTCCCCCTTAAAGGTAACTGAAATTATAGAATACAATTATATACACAATGACGAAAATATTTTCATGATACCCTCCCAAATTGCTACCTATAGGCAAGAACCCCTTTCCTTAAGTGTACGTTTTGAAACTCACGTTGTCTTCCTTCAAAAGTCAAATTTCGGCAAGTCATAATTTAGATTGGAATTCAGAAATCCTAAATTTGTGAAGAAGAGTTGAAAATAATTGGGCCGCAACCGTGCCAAAAAATAAGGAACAAAAAAGGCTTGCGTTTGACAAATCATATACTTATTTGTCAAAATTGATGCCCGAATAGTAAATCTATGATTTTGATGTTCTTACGGAGGAGAACATAAATCTACTTTTATCTTTCAAATCGAAGCAACGGAACCTACCCAAAATCATGTCGAAATAGCACATACACAACATATTTTCCAACAATGTATATTGAGTGGCTACAAATGCTTGATTGCTGATAAGTGTATTTTCTACACTTATTCGGGGTTTGAAACTATAGAATTTTATTGTTCTTTTGTCAAAATACGAAATAAATTGTGTTATATTGTATCTTGTAGGTAAAACTCAATGTTTGAAAAAGAATTGAAGAAAAGAGTACAAAATAGCGAAAAATGACAAAATTCAAATTACGAGCATGAAATTGCATTGTATCAAAAGAATTGAGGACTTGGAGAAATATAAATTATAAATTGGCCTCAATTTGGAACTCAAGTGGGCTTCACGTATTGGACTTTTAGTCGAAGATTTAGGGGCTGCTTTGGTGGATGAGATGTATACAAATTTACACACGGCAAAGAGGGGAGAGCCGCACAAGAAGAATTTTTGGCAGCTGGGTAGAAGAAAAATAAAAGAGAATTGGTGGTTGCCATATTCGATACACATATACCAGGCTGAAAATTTATTAAGGAGAATTGGTGGCTGCCTTATTTTATCATTTATTCACGCATATGATGGCAGCAAGATAGTGGGCTGAATTGGGAAAAAGATTGGAGCCAGGAAAGAGGTTAACATATAGAATTTGTGGTAGAATCATATGTATTTATACTCATAGTGGGCGGCAAAAGAAGGCAGATTTAGGGGCTGAAAATCGGCAGATTAAGGGCTGAAAGTCGGCAGATTAAGGGCTAAAAAAAAAAGGCAGATTTGGCCGGCAAGTCCAGCTGAAAAAGAGAAAAATTAGTGCTACGTATGCTGAAAATTAGTGCTGAATTGGGATGCTGAAATTATTATATATATAGAATTGGTGGCTGCTGGAAGAATAAAGAAGTTTGACGGGTGAAATATCTTACATCACGCACGCAGAAGAACGGAGAAAGTTACGGTGTAAGTTAGGAAATTAATCACGTTCATCAAATCTACGTTCATCAAATCTATAGGTGATGTCGATCCACTTCTACGTGATTAGTCTTGATAAAATGATAGGCTAATTTCCCATGTATTGGATGGATGATGAAACTATTAAATTTTTAGTTTTTAATTCGAGACCACGT